ATAATTCATAGACTCTTTTAAGCAAAGAAACTCCTGTCATGGTGCTTTATGTACTTAATATGAGAGAGGTGCTGAAAGTATTCAGCTGTGGATATAGATCTATAGGAGGCTAGGACTATTTTGTTATAACAAAAAAATTGTTAAGCATAACAATTGATATGCTTAATCAATTGATTTTATTCTACCTGTGAATAGCTGACATAGTCTTAAAAAAATAAATACTATCAAAATTTTTTTTAGGATTTCCTGGTTTAAAGTACATGCCAATGATGTTCTCTAATATATAAATGTTATATGAGAAAATAATATTGTGAAGTTCAGAGAGGAAGTAATCTCATACAGAATAAAGAGGTACATAAAAATAGAGAAATTGGTAAAGGGACACAAAAAATGATTACGACATATAAGGTTGAATAAACCTATTATCCTGATTTGAGAATCACATATTGCACATAGGTAATGATATTCAGCACTGTACCTCACAGGTATATACAATCAATTATGTTTCATTTGTAAGAATGAAAGAGAGAGAGAGAAAGAAAGATAGGAAAAATAAAGTAAAATTTTAAAATTTAAATAGGTAAATAATTTAGAGAGGAGCTAAACACTATGAAATGTGCAAAAAAATTCCGATTGTACTTTGTTTAGTTTATCTTGGCTAATCTTTATCTTCTACAAAGTTAGGCTACATTAAATAGTCCTTTTCCCTTGGGATCTTATGACACCTAGGAGGAAATAAAAGGAACAGCTGTAGCAGCAAAGACAAAAATTACCTGTGCATTTAACATTCTCCTGAGGGTGATTCCAGCCTTGATAGCAAGTTGTATACATCTGTGATCACACGTAGTCTTCCTTTAGGAAAGAATAGAGTTCCCAGAAGTCTACCCATTAATATAAATCCCACGTGCCCATTAACATTGTTGTTTTTGCATGAAAGTCCCTAATCTTCCAAAATCCTGAGCCACAGGCACTGGAAATTCCACATCTATACAACAGGTTTTTGCCCTAATGGATAAAAAATCAGATCTCCATTTTTTGAGTATATTACATTTATGGAAATTGTGTTATATTTGATTTTATTCACAAAACCTGATTAACATTACTAGAAATTAGGGAATCACAAACCTGTGTAATTTATGATATCTTTCTCAAAATACTCTTACTTCTCTATTAATGTCTTCTATCTTTAGCTCCAACTTCAGTAGTTCCAGTTTTATTCTCACTGGCTTTCCTGGCCTCGAAGTGGACTATCTCTGGCTCTCCATCCCTTTCTCCTCCATCTATGCCATGGTCTTCCTGGGAAACTGCATGGTGCTCCACGTGATCTGGACTGAGCCGAGCCTGCACCAGCCCATGTTCTACTTCTTGGCCATGTTGGCCCTCACTGACCTGTGCATGGGACTGTCCACCATGCCCACAGTGCTGAGCATCCTGTGGGGGCTCATTCAAGAGATCAGCCTGGATTCGTGCATTGCCCAGTCCTATTTCATCCATGGTCTGTCCTTCATGGAGTCCTCTGTCCTCCTCACTATGGCTTTTGACCGCTACATTGCCATTTGCAACCCACTACGCTATTCCTCCATCCTAACTAATGACAAAATCATGAAAATCGGGGTGACAATCTTATGTAGAAGTTCTTTGCTCATATTTCCAATCATCATTCGTCTGAAGTTCTTAAACTATTGCCGTCCTCACATCCTTTCTCACTCTTTCTGCCTGCACCAAGATTTAATTCGACTGGCCTGTTCGGATATCCACTTCAACAGCATCTATGGTCTGTCCCTGGTAATCAGCAACCTGCTGTTGGATGCAGTGCTCATACTAGATGTCATTATCTTGCATACTGTCTTAGCCATTGCATCCCAGGAGGAGCGGCTCAAGTCTTTGCAAGCCTGTGTATCTCACATCTCTGCTGTTTTGGTTTTCTACATCCCAATCATTGGTCTGACCATGGTGCATCGATTTGGGAAACATCTCTCACCAGTGGTTCATGTCCTCATGGGCAACATTTATATCCTTTTTCCTCCCTTGATGAACCCCAACACTTGATGAACCCCATTATTTACAGTATCAAGACCCAACAGATACAAAAGAGAGTCCAGAGGTTGTTCTACTGCAAAAGAGCTTGAGTCTTGAGATCAAATGTGAATGTATTTAATTGTCAACAAGTGGAATGAAAAAGAGTACAATCAGTAAATGATTAAAACAGATCTAATAACTTTTAATTTTATAGTGGTTTATATGTTACAAATATCATCCTTTCCATTTTCCAACAACCATTATGCCTTGGTAAAATAGACTTGTGTAATATTGTGACAATTTTACAATTCAGAAAGTGGACAGTCAATGGGCTGACAATCATATCGACATATGAGGCAGACTAGCCAGTAAAATTTATATTTTATGATGACCAGTTGAGTGAGGGTGATTTTGGATGACCACTATGAAAAGATATATTTTGCTGACTACTATCCTTCAAGTGTAATCACTAAAAGGTCAACCATTATCTTAGTATAGTGTTATCGCTCTAAGCAGCATTCTCATGTATTGTTAATTCATGGCCTCTGCTACCCAGTTTATCCACACTTCTAAGAGTGCCTTTCCTTTTCTTCCACAAAGCTCAAGTGACCTAGAAGTAATTTACAACACTGTAGGGAGCAAACACATCATCGTGAATGCTCAATTTTGAAGCTGTCAAAGGAGTTACCTTTTATATATATATATGTATGTATGTATGTGTTTTTTTCAATTAAAAGTGGGCACGTAGATAAAATAACTTTCTTAATGCTTTATAATTAGGAGAAGTGGGGCAGAGATTTGATTATTGACCATCTGCCTCTACAGATCGCCCGCTTAGCAATGACTACATTGTGTCCCAATGCCTAAAGTGTGTATTTCCACATTAACTGTATAAGATAATTGCACTGAATAAAATTATTTAAAGTTCTATATTTTTCCATTCTGCTTTACTATGCTTCTTTATATTCTCCGCACTGTTTTGTCTTCCAATCTCCGATAACAAATTATACTTTCCTAACTCTGCTAATAACAGTTATTTTCTTGGGATGCATTTCTTCAGTTTCATCCTGGAGAGTCTAACGTACATTCTAAAGTTCATTTCAAGTAGCATGATATCCAAATAACTGAAAAATTTTGATAGAATATTGCATTAAGACTTCTAAGCAAGGAAAGGAAATGATTCTGAGTCATCAAGGTCCTAAAGGAACACTTACACAGCCCCAGGACACTGAGACTGGTCTTGTTTCTGTGGAGAACTCTGTTTTTTCTGCTTCCTTCTCATGGGATGGTATTTCTACTTGAAATGATAAACCTACTAGATCCACTCTGGCTGGGACCTGATTGATTCTCTCATTCAGAAGGTGACACTCACAGTCCTCCCCATGAGTGTCATTGACTCTCACAGGGCTGTGGTGGGAGGGTCATTTTATCCTTAACCATGACAATTCCAAAGTTTTGAAGATATACAGTAAGATCTTGGACTAGCCTATTATTGCCTCTGTTGCTAGTGGTCTTTTTCTTTAAATTGGGCCTTTATTTTAACAAAAGTACCTTCCCTTTTCTATCTCTTATCTTATCTGTGGATCAGCTTATTTTCAGGTTTCCATAGCCCCTCTACAAAGCTGGAGGATCACTGAAGAGTCACCTTTGGATTTTATAAATTTAGAGACAACATCCAGAGGGTTCACACTGTACCCGATGTATAAGTACGTGCTTTATCCATTCAGTTCAGTCTTCAAGAATAGTGACACCGATGACGGTCTGGCTGGGTCAGGACATTAAGATGTCAAGATATTGGAGATCTTGAATCTGCTGACTTGGGATCCTGCTGAAAAAGGCCATTCCCGAAGCTTTTCTCCTGCCATGTCGGTTGATGTAGCAGCACCCACTAAAGCTGTAACTTAAGCTGATCCAAGCCTCCAGGAGTCTGCTGCGTGTGCAATGGTATTTGTTTTCAAAGTGTGTGGTTTACAACCTGACCAGAACTTGAATTTATGAATTAATGTGCCGAGGTGACCAGACCTTATGAGGTGCCCATCTCCACAGGAGGACATCTCCAAGAATTTGAAATTTGGAAACTTTCCAAGAGAGTGATCAGCAGAGAGAAAACTCCCAGTATTATCCTCGAATGAAATGTGCACAGTTAAGGACAAGAATTGCTAAGTGTGGGGGGAAAGAAGGTTTTGTTTTTTAAAGATATGGCCAGGAGTTTTCTTACCTCATCATAACATAGTCTCAAATTTATATCAGCATAAAGCTGCCTTTATGAAATATTTTGTGAAGGATTTTCTCCTGTACTGTTTTCTGAGAAAACTTTGCATAAGATTTATATTATTTTCCCCTCAATGTGTGTGTGTGTGTGTGTGTGTGTGTGTGTGTGTGTGTTAACCTAGCAAAAGCATGTGGGCCTGGCAAATTTCTTATTAGAAAGTTTCCAGTTACAGTCCTACTAGAAGTTTCAAGTCTGCTTAGATTATCTATTTCCTAGAAGGATCTTTGTTAGTTTGTGTATTCAAAGGAATTTTCCCTTTTTGTCTATGTTATTAAATACATTGAAGTAAATGTGATCATTTTATTCCCTAATTATATAAGTGATAGTTTATATTTTTTCTTTTTATTTTCTTAAATGTTTGGCTAAGATTGTCAATAACACTGATCTTCTCAAATAACTATTTCACACTCTAATTCCTGTACACTTTAAGAGTATATGTGCAACATGCAACAATTAAAGAATTATGTTATTCTACATGAATATGTATCAAACATTGGCCTAAAACAAAATATTGCAACAAGAAAACAAGTTCCAGAGCAACATTTAGACCAAAAGTGATGTGACCATATAAAAATTTGAAAATCATGATAAACTTAGATTTTTCTTCCTCATTGCCAACTTCTAGAATAAAATAGAAATTGTTTTTACCAAATTTGCTAAATATTATATTAACATCACTGTGTTACATATTAAATATTACGTATTATATCACTTCCATATAAGCATTTGTCATTACTTGTTTCTATGTATAGAGTTTACATTTTGAAATTGAAGGAATACAATAACAGGAGGCATAAAATAATTACACAGTTGACCAATTTTATGGATGAAAGGAGCAGTGCATTAAGATACAGTCAGAAATGTAAGTAGTGGGGATCAGAGAAGTTTGGTATTTCAAAAATTATCAATTTCAAGTGATTAGCAGGTGGATTTAAGCTTTGTCTTCAGACTATTTTTGTCTCCAGACTTTGGATTCTTAGGTAAAGTTTTTGAATAACACATATCTAGGATTTTGAACAAACAGTGTTAGCTAAGAATTCTATAAACATATAAATGTGTTCATTGTTCTTTCTTAAATGTGAAGTTATAATAAATATTCTCAAGCAGGCATACTACCATTCTCTAGCAACTCTCCTAAAAAATGCCCTAAAGTAGCCTCTGAGTTGTAGAAAAACTAGAATAAAGTGTTAGCAGTAATTTCAGGAGGCTATGAAAGCATTCAGATATAAAGACTGAATACTTTTTAAACTAATTAATTATTTGATTAGTATTTATATAAATTGAGGATAACTTGGACATAAGATTATATGTCGTATAAAGGAAAAACCAAAAATATACATGACAGGTGGAAATATATAAAGTAAGGCTAATTCTATATATCACATCTCAAAAAGTAGAGAACTGATATATGTAATTTGTTTTAAATGTTTTTATTTATTTTTAGATTTAATTGAAATGTTTCTTTTAAAATTTGCACATCTGTTAAAGTCTATATATTGTCCTTAATTATATGTAAATATGATGTATATATGTTTGCATATACATGTGTCCATACCTATATATTTGAGAACACATGATATGTATCAATCTGCAATTTCTGTTCAAAATATTTTTAATTTTACTTCCATATAAGCACTTGTCATAACTTATCCCATAGCACTTGCCGTATGCTATATTTTTAGGATGTATATATTAATATATTCACCCTGGGCACTAATAATGTTTTAATTTTTCACATTCATCATCAGTGCTGTGAACATTCGTGTTTCTTAGTTTTCATAATACTTGTACAAGTGAATATGTAAAATATCTTCATTACTTAATTATTCATTATTATCTTATTATGTATTCTGATATCACATTGGTATTTATATTTCTCAATGAATACCTTTTACTGTTACCACTAACAGTAATAATTATTGACTTTATGGTAAAAATGAAAATGCAGTCATCATAGTCATCATAGTGCCAGTAAACAACGACCTAGAGGATAACTACTGCTTTTACATTCATTTAAGAAGCAGTGATGGATGTTTTTTATTCATTTCAATGGCTGTAAGTAACGTATTGGCTATTAATCTTAAAAATCTCATTGTGGTAAAATCTTTCTCCTCTCTCAACCCTAAGAAATTAAAATAGTTCAATGCCTCAGGATCACCTACTGCCATTTTGTTGCATAATTGCTGACGTATAGGAAGGAAGACATAAAACAAACAAACATCCTCTGTCCTGCAAGTTCAATGTTTGTGGGAAGCAGGATGATTATACAACTGCTATTTGTAACATTAGGTAAAGTTCTTCAAATTTTAATTCATGGTAGTACCTATTTAAGAGCTTTGTATAGATCATCTTATTTAATCCTTTCAACAAACTTACTAGAGTATAATATTTTATGCCCACTATAAAGATAAATATACAAAAGCTCAGAAAGGCTAAATACTCTTGACCAAGCCCGCACATCTGGAATTCAAAACTTGAACCCAGAGATCAAATTCTCAGTTATTAAATCATGATGCTATGTATATGTGAATATTATTTTCTCTGAACTTCAGAGTTAATATTGCAGGAAAATAAGCCAAACATCTGGTAGGTGTTTTAAGATTTTGGGTTTTTTTTTGGTTAGTGTGTGATGTAAAATGTAAAGGAGAATGAACCAAGTCCTCAACACTACATTTGGTTAATTTCGATGAGTTAATTTCACATATGAGTTTTGAAAATGTTAATTCTGATCATTTCTGCCTAACACCATTAAGACATTATAGGTTATAATTAACTCTTAGGATTCTGAAAGCATATCCATTGACAGACCATCTCATCAGTATTTTCAACCTCATACAG